ACAAATATTCAGCTCTAAAGAAGTCTGAAAATTCGTTCCCTTTCAATGAAAGGAACTTTTCAGCTCTAAAAGAGATCCAAAAATTGGTTCCTTTTCAATGAAAGGAACTTTTTAGTTCTAAAAGAGATCTGAAAATAAATGTCTTTTCAATGAAAGGAACTTTTTGGCTCTAAAAAAGATTTGAAAATTCGTTCCTTTTCAATGAAAGGAACTTTTCAGTTCTAAAAAAGGTCTGAAAATTCATTCCTTTTTAATGAAAGAAGCAAATTTTCAGATCTAAAAGTGTCTGAAAATTCATTCTCTTTCAATGAAAGGAACTTTTTGGCTCTAAAAGAGATCTGAAAATTGGTTCCTTTTCAATGAAAAGAACTTTTTGGCTCTAAAAAGAGGTCTGAAAATAAATTCCTTTTCAATGAAAAGAACTTTTTAGCTCTAAAAGAGATCTAAAAATTGGTTCCTTTTCAATGAAAGGAACTTTTCAGTTCTAAAAGAGATCTGAAAATTGGTTCCTTTTCAATGAAAGGAAACAAATATTCAGCTCTAAAGAAATCTGAAAATTTGTCTCTTTTCATTGAAAAGAAACTTTTCAGCTTTAAAAAATTTGAATTCAGATCTGACAGATCAGATCTGAATCTGAATTCAAATCCGATGGATTAGATCTGAATTCAAATCCAAATCTGACAGATCTGATCTGATCCAAATCCAAATCTGAATTAGATCTGAATCTGACAGATCTGATCTAAATTCAATCCGTCAGATTCAGATTGGATTCAGATCGATTTGAATTCGTGCGGAATACTACATGCCTCAGTTTCCTCTGATCTATTCCTATTAACCAATTCATATTTTATTTGTTCTACTGATCGGTTTCTACTATTTCCAATTTTAGACTTTTTTAGAAGTCGATTAATGGTTTCTTCGATTTCATGTCTTTGTTTGATATTCCTGATTGATGCTTTTTTGATACTATTAGTGTCCGATCTCAACACATTAATAGAGCCAAGAACAGTAGAACCAGTAGTACGAGTAGTAGAAATGGTAATAGGAGAAGGATTTTTATTAGGATTATTAGAACTAATGGTAGGAGTAGAACCTGTATGAGAAGTATTAGAACCCGTAGTAAAAACAGCAAAACTATTAGAAGTAAGTGATAAAGTCAATGATCGTGAAAGTGTATTTGAAGAATGTTCATTATACACTTTTTGTACTGCTATCATCAATGAGCCACTGTAGCCCCAAAGAGTCCACCTAGGTGCTTTGAAAGGAGCCGATTGCTCTTTATCATAAAAATTATGTTCGTCGTAGATTCAGGTTCGCTTTTTTGGGATTTTTAAAGATTTCAAGAATATACGATCAACATAATCTCTTAAAAATGAACATAATTACGAATAATTATAGATTAATTACAATTAAAAGTTATAATAAATATCAATAAAATTTACATATCTTACTGTCGAAGAACGCCATCTTAAGTCCTTTACAATTATCTTTCGTTGATTTGATGGATATTCTTCATCAGATTCTGATACTTTAGGCGAATGGTATACATTATTATTCATTATCGGATGAAGTTCTCGTTCTTTGAAAATGCGAACTAATAGATCGTTAATAGCCATTAGATGCTCTATCACATTTGCTCTATTGTTTCGTTTCTGTAATTATAAATACAATAAGATCAATGAAAATGAAAAATCAAATAAAAATAGTTTACTCACATTGGCTTGTCGACTATTTAGGTGTTTTCTTTTAGCTTGTTGAATTTGTATTTAGGCTGATTGCTGTTTTTTTAAATGCTTCTCACGTTGATGCTTATGTCTGATATGTAGCATATCATATACAATATTTTCTGAAACAGGAAACATTTCTATATCCAGAGCTTGCATAACAGCTAGTACGATTGTGTTATTTACTAATTGTCATTGTGATTCAAATGTATGATTTAAGTTCAAGCGGCTAGAAGTTGGCATTCTATTAATTATCCAAAATACTTGTCGCTGTAAATAAAGATAAAGATATATCCATAATTAATATATATATATA